GCCTGCGGTACAGAGCAGCTGGGCTGGGGCCTCGAGACAGAACTGCTTTCAGCCCCGTGTTACACCTCAGGGCAAACTCATTGTGAATGGTCAAAAAAACCCACTGTGTGTGTATATATATATGTCAAGTACACGCCCCCTTTCCCCCGCTCAGACTGATGAAGCCGCAGAATTGCTGGCTGCCGTAGCCAAGCTGTGGAGTGGAAGTCAACAGGGAGCCAAGAAGTGAAGCGCCGCGGGCCAAGGCCTGCTCCGAGTTTTGTTGGGGAGCTCCTGGCAACGAGGCATGCCTACGACAGGAGCAAAGTTGAGAGGAAAGAGAGAACAGGAGTAGAAAACTTGGAAAAAATTCTACATCAAATCCAATTTTTTGATGGAAATTGGCTTCCCCCCCCCCAAAAAACCCCTCTCCAATATTAGTGTCTTTTCCACATTTTTTGTCTTCAGCCCCTTCCAAACTTTGTTTCAGCGGTCTCTTTGTTTGATTTTGACTCTGGAAGAGGGGGAGGGAAATGAAAACAAAAATCATAAATTGGAGGGATTTGGGCATAACAATAGATTTTTTCTTTAATTTTCTAAAAAACCCAACTCCCCCCAGATTTTTCTTTGCCTCTAAATGCTACATGAGAAAATAGTGGCTATTTTCCTACCAGCACTAGGGAAGTGAGGGAGAAAGAGAGGCCTGATGGGTATTCAGGGTCATAGAAAGACTGGCCCATATGGGTCAACATGCTGCCTGCCATGAATTCATTTGTTCAGTGCTGGACATGAAAACAGAAGAGTCTTGTCTTTCTCTAGCGCTGCCCTCTGCTAATTCAAAGGGGGTTGCTTTGATGGCACTGAGGGGGAACTAAATCCAGCCCTGCTGGTGGGGAGAAGATGGTTGTGATAACCTGGGATCCATCTCCCGAGAGGCTCCGAAGGGAGGGTACTCACCCCCCAGAAGAAATATCGAGGCCTTGTCATTTTTCACATGGTAGAAACCTCACAGTTCCTTGGTCAGGTCTAAGAGTGGGGAGACCTAGTTTCTGTCCCCAGCTCTCCACCAGTTCGCTAGCCCTGAGTCTCCCTGCACCTCAGTTTTCCCCATCTATTTTATTAACTTAATCTCATCAATTTAACTGGGCTTCAAATCCCCTTGACTAAACCAGAGGTGTCATACGAGGGAGACAGAATCTCTAGGGAGACCTCCTAAGAAACAAGGCTTCTGCACTGAAGTGTCAGCCCATAAAACGGGGTGGACTGAACTCTGACCATTTGTCATTGTCAGAGTGTCGCGCAAACAAGGATGAAAATCCTGCCAAGTGAAAGGTCACAAAGAGCAGCCGCGCTGTGGCTAAAAGGCAACAAACATCTCACCTCTGAGCTAAGCTTTCAGCATTCAGTCCCCAGCAAAGAGCAAGAGAGCACCCACTCCCTGTCAATCCTAGAGCTAGGCCAAAGTCCCCTGCAACCTTTCCCCACAAGCAGGCTATAAAACGGATGGCCAAGGTGCTAGTGTGGGTCATTATTCAAGTGAATTCAAGTCCAACTATTTCACTAGGAGGGTGGTGAAGCACTGGAATGGGTTACCTAGGGAGGTGGTGGGTTTTTAAGTCTCAGCTTGACAAAGCCCTGGCTGAGCTGATTTAGTTGGGATTGGTCCTGCCTTGGGCAGGGGGCTGGACTTGATGAACTCCTGATGTCTCTTCCAGCTCTAGGATTCTACGATTCAGCGCGCTAAACATGGCTGTATAGATGTTGCAGCATCAGCTCAGTCTAATCTCCTGAGTACAAACCCAGCCAACCCCACAGAAGTTGCTGTGGATTATTCACCCACCACTGAAATGAAGCCACCTTTGTGGTAGAACAGGTCAGTAGTTGAACAGCAAACAGCCACACCGCACAAGAGTTTGGGACAGGAAGTGGGGAACGTTGGACATGTTGGGGGAAGAGAACCAGGGACTATGTTCTCAGAAATCTGAGTTCTGACACGTTCCAGACTAAGTCCATCTGTGGAGTTGCAACAGGAATGAATTTGGCCATGTTAGTGTCTCAGTCGGACAGCACCCACCATAGGCCGCATTTCACCTGCAGCTGTCGATTTCTGGCCTGGCCTCGTTCCTCTCAATCAACCCTTCAGTGCAGCGTCTGCACATGAATATCGGGGGACGCCAATCACGCTGATCACGGAGGTCTTCCAACTGTGTCTGACTCCCCCAGAAAAAGCCAAAGACTCCAGCCCACTTATGGTTCTCATTATAGCCAATGCAAATGAAGGCATTACGGTGTGGCCATAATTAACGAGAGCAGGATGGCTTCCATGTCGTCACCCGCAGCAGAGACAGCGTTCCATGGAAGGTCATATTAAATTAGAAGAGTGCTTATTACATATACGGCAGCTCACTCGGAGTCAACTGGCAGAGTCTCATCACTTAGTAGCCTGGAAACCTCTTCTGGTCAAATTGATTCCCCTCCCCACACATGATAGCTACACTCCAAGAGGAGGCTTTCGCCAAGCCAATGCACCGCAGCTAACCCAGCACGGTGCATGGAAACAGATCCGGGCTCTCGCTGGTAGTGGAATTTTACTGGATCTGCTCCATATGGCAGGAGGAGCTGGAGTTGCTCAGAGAACCTGGACACCCCACTTATTTAGAGCCTGATTCTGCAGCCCTGGCATCTTTCGAATAGCATTTACTGAGCCGCCCTATTGGCGTCCCAGGGACTGAGCACCACGTGCCATAGCAAGGGTGGCAGAATTAGGCTCAGCTGGTCTCTCAACGGTTTGCCAGCAGAGCACCAATCCCCTCTGTTTGGTGGCCAGCCCATGAGTATCAGATGGAGCCCCTACATAAAGCAACACAGAACCCTCCACCCGCGGACTGTGGGGCTGGAAGCCAGATGTGGGGGAGGAATAAAGGAGACAAGAGGATAGGGGATGTTATTCAAGTTAATAGGATCAGGGCCCAGCGCGGGGTGGGGGGTGGGAGCCGCATCTCACAAGGAGCTGGCCCAGGCCCAAGAACACGGCTGAAGGGAGACAAAAGTTCCTGTGAGAAGCCAAAGCTCCGGTGCAGCTGCGTCAGGGCTCCCTGCACGGTCTGCAACACAGGCAGGAGAAACCCAAGCTCTCCTTTCCCCCTCCGGAGCGGCTACGTCCCACCCAGCCAGCGTGCGAGAGCACAATAGTGTCTTTGGCGTGCGAGAAAATGGGAAAGGAAGTGGTGGGCTTTAAGCCTAGAGGTGAGCCCCTCGCCAATAAGTCTCTGCAACATTTCGTCTGCCTGCTCTTTAACCCTTTCGGCTCCTGCAGAGCCAGCATCCTTTCCCCTCCACCAGGGAAACAGCTCAGCCAGCGCCTTTAATCCCCAACATCCTTGCTCCCACCGAGCCTGGCTCTCGGTGAAGTCCCACTAGAAACGGGAAAGTTACAGAAACTTTGCTGGGAAGTTTCACCCCAACTTAATGATACCCTCTGTCCCCCTCCCCCAAATCATTCAGTGTGTCTCTATTAGCCTCACTGGATCTACGGGGGGCAGAGAGGTTCACCAGCTGGGGTTCTGATCCCCATTGTGGGGGTGTACACACCGGGCAGACACAGTTAGCCCCCTTGCTGGGGTAAAGCAAGACAGCTACTTTAAGCTCAGTGGAGCTTCGTGGATTTTCACCAGCGGAGGGTATGCTCAGCCACAAAGAGCTACAATTGTCTTTCTAATCCAGCAAGTTGGACAAAGACTTATGCTGAACAGAGAAGAGGAACTGGGAAGCCTACGGCCCCTGCGAACAGCTCGAGAAAGAGAAGTCCCTGTATAGTTAAAACCAGGCATAAAAGCTCCCTGTGCTTACCTGGGCTTGTGGGCAGGAAGGGTGTCTGCTCGGGCGCGGGGTCTCCATGGAGTGAGTCAGAAAGGCTTGCGAGATTACTTCTCACCTGGGACATCTGACTGGGACCTGCCGGACACACCACACGCAGAGCAAGACAGAATGAGAGAGAAGCTCCCTGAAGATTGCTAAACAGCCCTGGCTACAAGGCACTCTCACCCGGCATGAATCAGCATGAGGGCTTGAGGTGGGGAGACAAGGAGGAAACGGCACAGCCCCACAAAGAGATCTCTAATCACCCGGGACGTCGAACTCACCTCTCCCCAAACTGCAGTGTCCACATGCACAAAAGGTCGCTTGATTGTTCGGCTGCAGCAAACTCCTGCTCTGGACAAGCTTCCCTCCGGACACATTTAAGTCCCCGCTGCATTGAGGAATCCTGTGATCAGCCAATTCCCACCCCCCCAAGAATACAGAGACACTTTGGAGAAACTCACTTTGGTTTACACTTTAATGGTGCTCCCACAAGTGAAGTGTCATCCTATTCTCCTCTCCATGTGACGGTCTCCTTCAGGTCTTTGCAGCTGCTGCCTGCTCCACACACCCCTCTCCTCCAGTCCTCTGCAACTAGATTTCTTCAACTTATCTTTCTTCCTTCCTTTGTCTTTTCATATTCCTTAAAAGCGTCCTGCCCCGTGCCTTATCCCAGCCAAGAATGCCCTGCAGATTCAAATACAGAGGACACTTTACTTCTTTATCTTTGCAGCTCTTTCTTTAGGGCAGTGTTAGGTTACAACTGGACAAGTTTGTGCAGTGTATCTCCAGACTGTATGCTCTGCCCCCCGTCTCTCACGCAGGAAATTGCATTCAGGGTTGATTACCCAGTTTCCTTCATGCTGGAGATATTTGGAGTTCATGCAACCTATAATAAGCTGGTTGGCACTCCGGTTTAAAAAAAGCAGCAAGAACAAACAAACACATACAGAAATCCACAAAGCCCCTTTAAAAAGATAATTTTTAAAAGTTGGTTTCTTTATGGATGGGGCGGGGACTGGAACTAAGTAGTATGGTGGGGGGAAGAGGGAAATGCGGAACAAGCTTAATGCTCATGTCTTTGATCTTCACATTTTAAAATCCAAATTAATTATCATTTGTTTTTCTGTACAGATCAATTTTCAAACAGCAGCAAGGGAACAGAAAGGGATGGCAAACTTAACTTGAAAAATCATCAAAACCTCTTGTGTATTGCATGAAGGGAAACAGCAGCCTATATCCTCCGGCGGTAACGCTTTCAATTACTGATTTACCCCAGATGTGAATGCGGCCCAATACATGTAGTACTCCATTATGTGAAGGATTGTCACGGAACTAGAACACACAGCCATTGTATTCATAATGGATCTGCTAGTAACTCACTTTCCATCTTTGGATGAGACACTTTCCCGTTTTTTCTGCCTCAGTTTCCCCCTTTGCAAAATTAGGACAATAGTGGGTTTTGAGGTTTAACTCAGCAGCTTTGAGATACTCAGAGGGAGGGCAAAATATGATTACAGAAGTCAGTAGCACTGTTTAAAGTGACAGAATGAAGTCAAGTCCCAAATTCCCTTTCCTAGTGTAATATTTTAATTATGGGAGCAGTTT